AAACTGAGGAATCCTCAGTGAGTCTTCCTCTCTCAAACAGGTGTGTGCACACCGTGATCCACTGGGCTGTTAGTAGCTCTCCAATGAACTGAGCAATCTAGAGGATTATATTTCGGGATCTACAAGAAAAATTGCAAATATTTGGGATTATTGGTTACTAAGAAGAGTACCCGGTGGTGCCCGGGTGCTCTCCCCTCGTCCCCCCTTTCTCCACCTTACTACCTCCTCCCCCCCCCTCTTCTCATTTAAACCATTTTCCCTTTCTTAAAATATTATATTAAAGTGCAGTGAAACTGCTATAAGGATATAAGGAAATTTTTTCTCTCGTGCAAAATTTTCCTTAAATTTCATTTGTGAGATCTTCATTTGTTTAGGGAAGTTCCTCATAGGTCACTGATAGGTAAGGCATGATAGGTAAGGCATGACAGGTAAGGCATGACAGGTAAGCCATGACAGGTAAGTCATGAGAGGTAAGGCATGACAGGTAAGGCATGACAGGTAAGGCATGATAGGTAAGGCATGATAGGTAAGCCATGAGAGGTAAGGCATGACAGGTAAGCCATGACAGGTAAGTCATGATAGGTAAGCCATGACAGGTAAGCCATGACAGGTAAGCCATGACAGGTAAGCCATGATAGGTAAGCCATGACAGGTAAGGCATGACAGGTAAGTCATGAGAGGTAAGGCATGACAGCTAAGCCATGACAGGTAAGCCATGATAGGTAAGCCATGACAGGTAAGCCATGACAGGTAAGCCATGATAGGTAAGCCATGACAGGTAAGGCATGACAGGTAAGCCATGACAGGTAAGCCATGACAGGTAAGCCATGACAGGTAAGCCATGATAGGTAAGCCATGACAGGTAAGCCATGACAGGTAAGCCATGATAGGTAAGCCATGACAGGTAAGCCATGACAGCTAAGCCATGACAGGTAAGTCATGACAGGGAAGCCATGACAGCTAAGTTTGAGACATGTCATTCATATCTTGTAAAGTCTGGACACCTCCCATCCTGCAGTAAGGAGAGCACCAGTAGGTCCTGTGGATGGAATGGACAAAATAGTGATTATTGCGATAAATTGGGCATAAAATGTCATATATAATTGACCTGGGATTGTTTATTTAGGCCTAGGAGAAGAAATGTTGGGGTAGTGGGAAATTTTGCTATGCTCTTTAGTACTACACCAGGTATCAAAAGTATCTGGTGTAGTACCATTTGATACCTAAGTATCAAATGGTACTTAGGTATCAAAATGTAAATATTTTACATATTTAATCAAGTCGCTATATGTACCTTAGATTTTGGAGGACTGGTTGGCCCATATAGCATACCTCATTATCTATATAAATATATTCGACTTTATAAATAACATGTTATATCATTTACTGAAATATTAGTTGTCTCTGTCAAGAATAAAAAAAATGTAAATTAGTAATTTAAATATAATTTGTGAGATATAACTGTAATCTTATCTCTAACATTTCAGAAGGAAGAGGTATACCGCCAGCACCACCATGGTGCCAGCACCATGGTGTAGCACCACCACCATGGTGCCAGCACCACCACCATGGTGTAGCACCACCATGGTGCCAGCACCACATCTCAATCAGGTAAGTTGGTGTACCCGGTACAACACAACTAGTGCCACCTCACCATTATGTAACAAAAGTAAGTATCATTCTACTTTGCTCTGATGAAGGCGAATTAAGCCGAAAACGCGTTTAGCATTCTCTGTTTTTCACATGTGGTTTTTCCGCTTATATATTTATATTTATATTTTCCGCTCATTTATATATATATATATATATATATATATATATATATATATATATATATATATATATATATATATATATATATATATATATATATGTCGTACCTAATAGCCAGAACGCACTTCTCAGCCTACTATACAAGGCCCGATTTGCCTAATAAGCCAAGTTTTCATGAATTAATTGTTTCTCGACTACCTAACCTACCTAACCTAACCTAACCTAACTTTTTCGGCTACCTAACCTAACCTAACCTATAAAGATAGGTTAGGTTAGGTTAGGTTAGGTAGGGTTGGTTAGGTTCGGTCATATATCTACGTTATTTTAAACTCCAATAGAAAATAATTGACCTCATACATAATGAAATGGGTAGATTTATCATTTCATAAGAAAACAATTAGAGAAAATATAATAATTCAGTAAAACTTGGCTTATTAGGCAAATCGGGCCTTGCATAGTAGGCAGAGAAGTGCGTTCTGGCTACTAGGTACGACATATATATATATATATATATATATATATATATATATATATATATATATATATATATATATATATATATGTATATATATGTGTATATATATATATATATATATATATATATATATATATATATATATATATATATATATATATATATAATATGACACAAAGGCTGCATGAACGCAGGCATTCTTAGTCTCTTGTCTTTTCAGTAAACCAACCCAGATCCTTGTGTAAGTTCTTCACTGTTTTCGGTACCAAGGGACTCTGAAGCAAATGGGAACCAAATTGTCTTGATGATACAATTCTCGGTACTTATGGACTTTGGCTGAGTCCCTGTGGATGGCAGTGCTTGCATGCTCAAAACTGAAGTCAGTGTATTGGCCCATGTTAATACGCATGTGTAATCTTACACCAACTGCCTTCCGTTATTCCAGGGCTGCACTGTAATCTTATCTAGGTGTCTAGCAGGATTGGTAACTGAGGCTCTCTGCTGGGCAACTGGCTGTGGTCAGGCTCCTCCTTGATGATGTCTTTGACTTCACTGTGCCTTGAGTGCCAGCATAGCAAACTATGCGGACCGAATATGTAAGCCTCACCACAAATATACCTGCAAGCAGCATGATTTGCGAAAGCAAACCATCTACTACAATATGGAGGGTTTGCTGTGAAGTGATATATTATGTTAGGTCAGTTTCAAGACGTTGTAGCTACTTATTTACGATGGAGCTGTCCCAGACGGATTGCGTGTGGGCTTTTGATTGGCCTGGCTTGAATCCTGGAGCTGTCAGAGAAAACCACTTGGTTGGGTAAATGCTGAAAACAGGGAGTGAGTACCACTGCCAAGTTGCTAAACTAATTATATAATATATCCTTGGCCAGGTCGTCAGATGTTGCTAAGGAGGGTAATAAGGTTGGTAGAGTTATCTGTGTGGTTGTGTGGGTACGGAGGCCACCAAGTTCGGTGGTAAATATGGGTTGTTTCCACTATGGGTCATTGAGAGAAATGTTAAGGACTTATTCTAACATAGATTTCCTTAGGGGCCACGAACCCTAGTAGTCTAGACGAGGACAGGAAGCCGGGGGCTTATCAAAGGTCCCCCTATTTGCCTTAATCATCTTTACCAGGTAGATTCTAAAACTTAACACACTTTTGACATTTACGGCTTCGGCGGGTAGGCGGTTCCACGGGTTTATGACCCTGTGGGTGAAAAAAACATCTCCTGTTCTCTGTCCTACAGTGAGGCTTGTTGAGCTTGAAACCGTTGCTCCTAATTTGTGTTACATTCGTATTTATTGCTCCTTGTTTGTGTGTTGACCCAGCTTGGGCATATTGTTGTGGAATAGGGACACCTTGGGAAGGAAAAGCATCTGGTGAGAAGGAAAAAAAAGGCATCGAGAACATCAATGTGACATGTCTTAATCATGTCATGTCATGACAATGTCTTAATCCTTATATTCATCTGCTTCAGGTCATAGATCTTCTCACCAAGGCAAGTGTGCCGTCCTGCGAATTAGTTATGTGGATTTCCAGCAAAACGTCATTTACATGAATTTTGATATGTTGATTGGAGGGATAGTCCTGCGCGGGCCCTAAGCCTCTGGCTGGCCCACTAAGTGTTGCTTGTTTCTGTTTGGAGTTGACTGTTTTGCACTTTGAGGTGTTCTGCGTGATGATTAGGTTTGATTTCTGGTGTGTGTGTGTTTGTGTAGGGGAAGCTTTAATGCTCCCAAACTACATTTTATTCAACAACAGTTAATTTGGGGACTCCTCTAGGGCTCGAACCTAGGCCGCAAGCCCAATACAGTACCCACTCTGCCTATGATAGGGTCATAGTATTGGAGGCTCGTTAAAGCTACATGTATATACTACCCAGTTACCCTCGTGAAGAAATAGCACCCTTAATGATACTCGCTCGTGAGCTGACTACCTTGATGTTTTTTTTCTGGAACGAAACAAACCATGGTTGGTTCTCAAGCCCTTGAGTGTCTTCTGTCTCTTCCTGGGGGGAAGGAGCATATAGGTGTAGGGGGAGAGACAGTCCTGTAGTTAACGGAAAGGGGATGGGCATGGTGGGGGACCTGGTTGATACCTGGTTGATGGGGTTCTGAGAGTTCTTCTACTCCCCAAGCCCGGCCCGAGGCCAGGCTTGACTTGTGAGAGTTTGGTCCACGAGGCTGTTGCTTGGAGCGGCCCGCAGGCCCACATACCCACCACAGCCCGGTTGGTCCGGCACTCCTTGAAGGAAACAATCTAGTTTCCTCTTGAAGATGTCACTCAGGGAAGAGTCACCCGTGTGGCTAACGGAGTGGCGGAGGGGATTGGGCTGCGACAATCACTTCGCAGTTGTCACCTCTGGTGGTACCCCTCTACCGGAAGGAGGTGGAAAGGGGTAGAAACTATATTTTATTTTTTACACAGGTGTGTACAGAGCAAATGACGTGTGACTCCTGTTAGCAAGTTGGGTGAACAGAGGTTTCTCTTCTGGGTGTGTTTAGGATTAAAGCAGTTGTGAGCAATCGTTTTGAATGATTTACTCTGCGCAAATTTTGGTCAAAGAAGGTTGCAGTTTACTGGTAAGTTGGGGAAAGGTAATGGGATCCCAGGAGGTGGTACCTCCTCCTACCAGGTTGATACCTCAACCAGGTAGGAGGCAGCGAGAGGTGTGTCTGGTAACAGTGTGGAGCCGGTGTTGGCGTGTGTGGCAACTGTGTCGGCCATGGCGACCACAGGAATGTTGCACGTTGGGAAATATTCCTCATTCCTGGCAGCCGTCGGTGCGTCCTGACAGCCGGTGGTGCGTCCTGGCAGCCGGTGATGCGTCCTGGCAGCCGTCGGTGCGTCCTGGCAGCCGGTGATGCGTCCTGACAGCCGGTGGTGCGTCCTGGCAGCCGGTGGTGCGTCCTGGCAGCCGGTGATGCGTCCTGGCAGCCGTCGGTGCGTCCTGACAGCCGGTGGTGCGTCCTGGCAGCCGGTGATGCGTCCTGGCAGCCGGTGATGCGTCCTGGCAGCCGGTGGTGCGTCCTGGCAGCCGGTGATGCGTCCTGGCAGCCGGTGATGCGTCCTGGCAGCCGGTGATGCGTCCTAGCAGCCGGTGGTGCGTCCTGGCAGCCGGTGATGCGTCCTGGCAGCCGTTGGTGCGTTCTGGCAGCCGGTGATGCGTCCTGGCAGCCGTCGGTGCGTCCTGGCAGCCGGTGGTGCGTCCTGGCAGCCGGTGGTGCGTCCTGGCAGCCGGTGATGCGTCCTAGCAGCCGGTGATGCGTCCTGGCAGCCGTCGGTGCGTCCTGGCAGCCGGTGATGCGTCCTAGCAGCCGGTGATGCGTCCTGGCAGCCGGTAATGCGTCCTGGCAGCCGGTGGTGCGTCCTGGCAGCCGGTGGTGCGTCCTGGCAGCCGGTGGTGCGTCCTGGCAGCCGGTGATGCGTCCTGGCAGCCGGTGATGCGTCCTGGCAGCCGGTGGTGCGTCCTGGCAGCCGGTGATGCGTCCTGGCAGCCGGTGGTGCGTCCTGGCAGCCGGTGATGCGTCCTGGCAGCCGGTGGTGCGTCCTGGCAGCCGGTGATGCGTCCTGGCAGCCGGTGATGCGTCCTGGCAGCCGGTGATGCGTCCTGGCAGCCGGTGGTGCGTCCTAGCAGCCGGTGATGCGTCCTGGCAGCCGGTGATGCGTCCTGGCAGCCGGTGATGCGTCCTGGCAGCCGGTGATGCGTCCTGGCAGCCGGTGGTGCGTCCTGGCACCCGGTGATGCGTCCTGGCAGCCGGTGATGCGTCCTGGCAGCCGGTGGTGCGTCCTAGCAGCCGGTGATGCGTCCTGACAGCCGGTGGTGCGTCCTGACAGCCGGTGATGCGTCCTGGCAGCCGGTGATGCGTCCTGACAGCCGGTGATGCGTCCTGGCAGCCGGTGATGCGTCCTGACAGCCGGTGATGCGTCCTGACAGCCGGTGATGCGTCCTGACAGCCGGCGGTGCGTCCTGACAGCCGGTGATGCGTCCTGACAGCCGGTGATGCGTCCTGACAGCCGGTGATGCGTCCTGACAGCCGGTGATGCGTCCTGACAGCCGGCGGTGCTTCCTGGCAGCCGGTGATGCGTCCTGACAGGCCGGCGGTGCGTCCTGACAGCCGGTGATGCGTCCTGACAGCCGGTGATGCGTCCTGACAGCCGGCGGTGCTTCCTGGCAGCCGGTGATGCGTCCTGACAGGCCGGCGGTGCGTCCTGACAGCCGGTGATGCGTCCTGACAGCCGGTGATGCGTCCTGACAGCCGGCGGTGCGTCCTGACAGCCGGTGATGCGTCCTGACAGGCCGGCGGTGCGTCCTGACAGCCGGTGATGCGTCCTGACAGCCGGTGATGCGTCCTGACAGCCGGCGGTGCTTCCTGGCAGCCGGTGATGCGTCCTGACAGCCGGCGGTGCTTCCTGGCAGCCGGTGATGCGTCCTGACAGGCCGGCGGTGCGTCCTGACAGCCGTCGGTGCGTCCTGGCAGTCGGCGGTGCGTCCTGGCAGCCGTCGGTGCGTCCTGGCAGCCGTCGGTGCGTCCTGGCAGCCGTCGGTGCGTCCTGGCAGCCATCGGTGCGTCCTGGCAGTCGGCGGTGCGTCCTGGCAGTCGGCGGTGCGTCCTGGCAGTCGGCGGTGCGTCCTGGCAGTCGGCGGTGCGTCCTGGCAGTCGTCGGTGCGTCCTGGCAGCCGTCGGTGCGTCCTGGCAGCCGTCGGTGCGTCCTGGCAGCCGTCGGTGCGTCCTGGCAGTCGGCGGTGCGTCCTGGCAGTCGGCGGTGCGTCCTGGCAGTCGTCGGTGCGTCCTGGCAGCCGTCGGTGCGTCCTGGCAGCCGTCGGTTCGTCCTGGCAGTCGGCGGTGCGTCCTGGCAGTCGGCGGTGCGTCCTGGCAGTCGGCGGTGCGTCCTGGCAGCCAGAAAAAGAAGAAAGTAAAAGAAATAATCCGTATATCCAATAAATAATAAGAAATACCCTTTCTGGGATATCGACAAATTACACCTCCCTGAGGTTAATCACTTCGCGACTTGACAATGTGCCTGGCACTCAGTAACGCTCAGAAATGTCGTTTCTTAACGAATTTCGTAAAATTAGGAGCAATGACTGTCCCAATATCCAGGGGGCAACAGTGAACTGTCTCATGCTAACGAGCGCTCTCGTTGCTCCCTCTTGACAGGTTACGTGACCAAGGGTGACCTGTTGATTGGTCCTGTCATGCAACCTGTTGCCAGTCATGAGGTCCTCTCATCCTGTAGTCTCGAAGCTCTGCCGTCTTCCTCATGGCGGGAAAATGTCTTGTAGTGCAGCGACGCTTGCATCCGCCATATTGGAAAATGGCGGATGCATTTTCCAATATGCATAGGCTACCACCTCCCCCCTACCTTCCTCTTCAGATATCTGTAAACATAAATATCTCCTAAAACTATGCAACTTGCATTTTTGAACTTGAACTGAAATTATAACTGGGTCATCAGGTATGTACACTATGAGGGGGAAATTTTTCTTAAAGCCAGGACAGCCACGAACGAGACGACAGCCTCGAACAGACAGACATTTTTAATGTATAGATATTCCCCGACCATCCGGCCCCAACCTCGAATAGACATATTTAATGTATAGATATAGATGGCAGTTGTAATGCTGGTGAGGCCTGCGTAGGTGTGAAAAGGGGACAGTGTAGAACAGTGATCAAAGCTACACTGCAGCCTTCACTGGTGCCTTGGCTGTGTTTACCCTTCATCACCCCTTAGGATTAGCCATCAACATCCCCTTAGGATTACGTATCATCACTCTTAGGATTACCTATCATCACCTTTAGGATAAATGTGGCAGTCTATGTTGTTGATATCTTTACTGGTAAGCTGATGTTGTTTATATGTTGTTAATAATTATTAGTGGTTCACGGGGTGTGGTTATGGCATATGTCAGTGGTGGCAATTTACTGTGTGTGTTTACTAGTTGTGTTTTTACGGGGGTTGAGCTTTGCTCTTTCGGCCCGCCTCTCAACTGTCAATCAACTGTTTACTAACTACTTTACTAACTATTTTTTTTTCCCACACCACACACACACACACACACCAGGAAGCAGCCCGTGACAGCTGACTAACTCCCAGGTACCTATTTACTGCTAGGTAACAGGGGCACTTAGGGTGAAAGAAACTTTGCCCATTTGTTTCTGCCTCGTGCGGGAATCGAACCCGCGCCACAGAATTACGAGTCCTGCGCGCTATCCACCAGGCTACGAGGCCCCTCGCTATCCACCAGGCTACGAGGCCCCTGTGGTGTGTGTGTGTGTGTGTGTGTGTGTGTGTGTGTGTGTGTGTGTGTGTGTGTGTGTGTGTGTGTGTGTGTACTCACCTAGTTGTACTCACCTAGTTGTGTTTGCGGGGGTTGAGCTCTGGCTCTTTGGTCCCGCCTCTCAACCGTCAATCAACTGGTGTACAGGTTCCTGAGCCTATTGGGCTCTATCATATCTACACTTGAAACTGTGTATGGAGTCAGCCTCCACCACATCACCTCCTAATGCATTCCATTTGTCAACCAAGTGTGTGTGTGTGTGTGTGTGTGTGTGTGTGTGTGTGTGTGTGTGTGTGTGTGTGTGTGTGTGTGTGTGTGTGTGTTAGTGGTGAAGGTTAACAGTGGGCCAAGATGTTTAGTCTGGCTATACCTGCCTGGAGCGCCCTTCTACCATTGCTAGGCCCAAGTCATCATTCTGTTTCAATCTTCAGTCAACTCTTCTATCTAGTAATGTCTCACTCATTACAAGTATATCAGTTGCCTGAACGACGCCATCTAGTGGTGTTATGTATGTACAGGTGTATTATATGTTTTATACTCGAGAAACAGGTGTTCCTTCAAGCGTATTTGGTTATATATGACTTAATTGCTGGCATTGCTGATCTTATAGTGTAAACGTTCAATGCTTCTATTTTCTTAGTGTCAGCATTAAGAAGAACACTCAAATTACCACAAATCATATATATAAACATATATTTTAACCCATATTATGTTTGCATATATATATTTTTTGTTTAACTCCACCCAAATATTACACCTTATATATTCATGTGGTTCAGTTATGTGTAAATATCCTGACAGGAAGGCTTAAGTTAAATGTTTTAAGAAATATAGCATGTAACTTGAGCGATTTTCTTGAAGTCAGAAAGGAATCCAAGATGAAATCAAGAATGAGATGGCCATAATGTGTGTGTGTGTGTGTGTGTGTGTGTGTGTGTGTGTGTGTGTGTGTGTGTGTGTGTGTGTGTGTGTGTGTGTGTGTAGTTAATCCCGCCGTTTACCCTCGCTTTCTTAATAATATTTTTTCTGAGAGGATGGGCATAGGGATGTAGGTACTGGGGAAGGGGTAAATAGAAGAAGAGGTGAAATGGGGCCAAGATGGTGAGGAAGAAGGGCAAATGAGGGGAGAACGGAGGAAAGGGGACAGGAGGAAGGGGGTAGGGACAAGGGGATGGGGACGATGGAAGGGAAGATGGAACGAGAGAACCAGCGTCGACCAGTTCCCAAATTCAGGGGTTTTCATTCAGTTTAAAGCACCATAATATTGACGCTCTCTCACACTAATGAACGGTTCCTTGTTGAACATGAACCACCTCAAATATGACGCTTCTCAATTGACGAGAGAGAGAGGGGGGAGGGCGTCTAGTGCAAGACCTTCGAGCATGGGTTATTGTACGCACCTTACCCGCTAGTGAGTACCGCCCTGGTACCCAGTACTGGTGAGTACCCAGTCCAAGTACCGCCCTGGCTCGCGATTTCATAGGCGTCAAATTCGAACGGGGTTTCACCGAACCAGAAGCCTATGAACTTAAACAAACCTCACACACAACCTATCGCAGCTGATGCGTATTAGTCCGAGGGAATGTCAGTAATGCGGCCTTGTTAATTTGGCTACATTTTGACGGTGTAGTCGATGCTTAACTAATCATAGCAAATCCATGCTAACTTGAGGCGTATGAAGCGCATGTGCTCAGTCTCGCTCCCAACGACCTTGGTTTACAGGGTGCACAGTACACAGTCAGGACCCAACGATCTTGGTCACGGGGTAGTGTGCTTCACAGTACACAGTCACGACCCCAACGAACCTAGTTAGTGTGTAGATCCTCTAATTCCTAATAAATCATAATAACAGCTAAATTTTACAAATAACTTGAACAGGCGTGTTTGCCTGAGAGACAATAAACCCAGCCAGGGAGCCAAGCGGCGTTTAATAATATATAACTATCAAACATACTGTCTTGGTTAATAGGTGATTACGCAGACGACGTACCAGGTAGTTAGCGAGTATTAAGCAAGGCGAGGAATAACATATTTAGCGCTAAATGTTCTCTGTTCCTTAAGAACCAACTTTGTACCACTTTTTTTTTTTTTTTTTTTTTGCTTTCTCTGTTAATTGTGTCTTGCTTAATTCTGAGCTTAAGGAGTTGCTTTTAAACAAGTCTCGTGATTGTATGCTGCGCTGGCACCAGCTGTTGGTATGTAGAGCCGCATGCGTCACGCATGCACGCACGCACGCGCGCACACACACACACACACACACACACACACACACACACACACACACACACACACACACACACACACACACACACACACACAGTACTCAGACCCATCCTGTTTCTAATATATGTAAACGATCTTCCGGAGGGTATAGACTCGTTCCTCTCAATGTTTGCTGATGATGCAAAAATTATGAGAAGAATCAAGACGGATGAAGATAGACAGAGACTACAGGATGACCTGGACAAACTGGAGGAATGGTCTAGAAAATGGCTGCTAAAGTTCAACTCAGGAAAGTGTAAGGTAATGAAATTAGGCGAAGGGAGCAGGAGGCTGAACACAAGGTATCATCTGGGAGGGGAAATCATGCAAGAGTCAAATAGGGAGAAAGATCTGGGGGTTGATATCACACCGAACCTGTCCCCAGAGGCCAACATCAAAAGGATATCATCAGCGGCATATGCTAGACTGGCCAACATAAGAGCTGCCTTTAGAAACTTGTGTAAGGAATCTTTCAGAACCCTGTATACCACTTATGTAAGACCAATCCTGGAGTATGCAGCTCCAGCCTGGAGTCCATACCTAGTTAAACACAAGACAAAGTTAGAGAAGATCCAGCGGTATGCCACCAGGCTCGTCCCGGAACTGAGATGAGTGAGTTACGAGGAAAGGCTAAAGGAGCTGAACCTCACATCCCTGGAAAACAGAAGAGTAAGGGGAGACATGATAACCAACTACAAAATTCTCAGGAGAATTGACAGGGTGGACAAAGACAAACTCTTCAGCACAGGTGGAACACGAACAAGGGGACACAGGTGGAAACTTAGTACTGAAATGAGCCACAGAGACATTAAAAAGACTTTTTTCAGTGTCAGAGTGGTTAACAAATGGAATGCATTAGGCAGTGATGTGGTGGAGGCTGACTCCATACACAGTTTCAAATGTAGATATGATAGAGCCCAGTAGGCTCAGGAATCTGTACACCTGTTGATTGACAGTTGAAAGGCGGGACCAAAGAGCCAGAGCTCAACCCCCGCAAGCACAACTAGATGAATACAATTCAAGGACACACGTTCAATTTCCAGCCAAGACAAAAACAGTTGGCAGAGTTTCTTTCATCTGATACCCCTATTCACCTAGCAGTAAATTGGTACGTGGAAGTTAGTTGTTGCGAGAGTAATATAGGAGACAACAAGCCACAATAACTTTGTTAAAGATTAGACAACCAACCCACATATAAGATGTGTGGATTGGCTGTTTAATTTATAATCAAATATGTTGACCAGACCACACACTAGAAAGTGAAGGGACGACGACGTTTCGGTCCGTCCTGGACCATTCTCAAGTCGTTATTGTGACTCATCGCCTGTATATTGATACCCTCTCTATAC